AAGTGGAAATTGATATTGACTAGTAATTCTGATTCTGATTTTAAATTTAAACAAGCAAATTCTAATACTAAAATTAAACAAATAGATCCAAATCCTAAAATTCAACAAATGATGACCACCATGAGATATGCAAAAGACAAAGGGCTAAGAAAAAACTTACAAGGAATCAAAGAGCCTGTATGAACTACACCTATGAATGACAGGCATAGTATCGGATATCAACAGGTTTTTTTAACAAGGGCCATTAATACTACTGCCCCCCAAACAGCTTTGCCTTTACACTGGCAAACTAAGAAACCTGTTTGGGTAAATCAATGACCACTTACCAGGGAGAAACTAATCAAATTATTTAAGCTAGGACATTTGGAAAACTCAGTCATTCCTTGGAATACTCCTGTCTTTGTTATTCCAAAGAAATCAGGCAAATGGAGGTTATTACAAGACTTAAGAGATGTAAATGCTTGCTTACTTCCTATGGGGGTGCTATAACAGGACTGCTGACCAACTACAGTTCCCAAAGGCTGGTCTAAATCTCTATAATTTCTTTAGGTATATCTTTGCTATGTAAAGTCTTACAGAAGGATTTCACAAGTGCTATTAAAAAAGGGGGGGAGGGGGAAGTCTACATAAGTGATAATATTAACCTAAATTATAGTAAGTCTTACAGAGAGAGATCACAGGAGCACTTGGAAGAAGGCCTGGGTACGTGACAGAGTGTGTTTGAGGATGTCTCAGCTGGAAACTACCGCAAGGGGCACAAAAGCTGTGGGTATTCTTAAGACAGAATAAAATACTGAAAGTATATTAATTACAGGTAAAAGGTTTTTATTTTTTCCAAATTCTTTTTATAAGAGATCTATACTAATTGACCTATCAAAAAAAAAGGAAATAAAAGTCCAACTAGACTTATAATTACAAACTTATAATTCAATATGGCCAAAACTATATTTGAAAGCACTCTGAATTCATAAACAAATTGTCTTGTGTATGTTTTGTTTGTTTGTCTCTTTGTCAAATATGTGAACAGCTGTTTTATTTGAGTTCAACAAATTTCTCTTTTTATATTTTTTGATTTTTGAAGTAATTGTCTGTAATCTAATTTGGCTTATAGATAAATATTATCTAAATTAAAGATTTGCTTCTACCAAGCTGCTGGCTGGTCAAAATTATGTTAAAATTGGTTTTATAAATATATAAATATTATTATTTATGTATTATAACTTGAGAGTCTCTCATTGCTCAAAATGGATGTGTCAAGTATTATGATGGACATTCATAGGACATGAAAAATGGTTTAAGATAATTAAATAAAAATTTTGTAGGGTAGAGAGAGATTGTTGGACAGGGCTATGACTGATGAATAAAAAACAGCTGCCTGGAATAACATTAACCAGTTTTTGTTCATTAATAAGGAGCCCCAATAATCTCCATAGCCTTATGGGAGACACCACAATAAACATTATTCAAAATATATTATTATGATGGGTTTACATCAGTCACTGTCAGAAAGTTGTTTTCAAAAAAAATGACAACTTGTTATTGTTAATTTCATGGTATATTAAATGTATTCATGCTTTCAAGATGTATAGTATTCTAAAAGATACATAATGTTAGGCATCTGCCTTTCCCTTGTGCTCCAGATATGTGTAATAGGAGGTTCATGGGTCATCGTGTGAACAATTTTTTTAACAAAAACTTATGTGATGTATATGCTATGTATATGCCACTACATTTACAGAGGCTTAGATATTAAACAGCCCGGACAATGTCACAAATTTCTTAAGTGGCATCCTGTTTAAGGCCAAGTTGGATGAAAGCTCCTTATGTATTAGGTAGGGATGATGACTAAAAGGGCTCATCCATTGTGCTACAAAAATGCCATCATGCTTATTATATAACAATACTATGTATGGGGGCTGGGGATTTAGCTCAGCGGCAAAGCGCCTGCCTGGCAAGTGCAAGGTCGTGAGTTCAGTTCCCGGTACCAGAGAAAAACCAAAAAAAAAAAAAACAATACTATGTATGATTTTCGACTTCCAGTTTTCTTTGTAAAAGAAATATAACTGTTGTCTGTTAACATTCCACAGAGATTCAACTACTAGAATATCCATGATTGGTAAGAAGTAATAGTTCTCTGGCTAGAATGTTTGCCGTTACAATACATCCAACTACATATGGTATATTTATACCTAGATGGCCCCAAACCCTCCAATCTTAAGATATTAAAAAGTAAATTACTTCTGTTTATCTCTTCTTCAGTTTGGTTGTTGATGCCACCCATCTACTTGGCCTCATGCCTTTTAGCCTAAACTCTGACCTGTCTTACTACTTCAACATAAAACCTTGTCTATCCGGCTTCCTATTCAGACCAGTATCATTCCTCTATACACCTACAGTAGGCTCTTGAGGTAGGCCCTCTCTATTGATTCTCAATCTTTCCTCCCCTTCATGTTGTTATCAGAGTAGTTCTTCTAAAATAAAAATAAAATTACTTTGCAATCTTCCAAAGTCTCATTGTCGATAAAATTAAGTCCAAACTCCTTAAAATGTTCTGTGAGATTCATCAAGATTCTTACTTCCTTAATTTAAATCTCTGCTCTTTCTTTGCCTCAAACATTCTCTGTTAACTCTGTGAACTACTTCCAGGAAGTGGTGGGAGAAGTAGACCCCTAGAGGCGGCGTGCCCTTCTAACAGGGAGCCATAGCTAATGGGCCAAAGAAAACCATTGCTATGAAGAAATCTGAGCTCAGTATTGCAAAGCTTCACATTTTCTACAAGAAGGCTTCATATACACTATTTTGAACAATATCTCAATGTTTAAGACTTGCACCAAGTTCAGAGACGTTCATAAAACACTATGCAAATAAAATTAAACCTATAGTATAGGTCTGACTGAGCCTATGGACTGAGAGTTTATGAGCCTTGAACTAACACTTATTCTCATGGAAGGGAAAATTCCAGTGTGTAATAAAGTATCCAGGACACAGTGGCCCTTGGTAAAGAATATCTGAATGTACACAGAGTAAAACAAATGTTATTCATACTTAAGTTTAAAAGGTGATTTTAAAAAATCACTTGAAACTATCTGAGAATTTTAAAAATAAGAAAGATTTTACATTAATTCATTGTATTGCCTCAGAGAACAATTTTTTCAAGACTCCTCCATTTTTTCCTTCTACTCCCCTCTCCAATAGATGTGTTACAAACAGCGACAGGAAACCAAGACTGGCATGCTACATTTCCTTCCCTATTTTGCTCCCTCTGCTTCCACTTCATAATTCTACAGCTTGAATAAATAGAAAATAAAATCAATAAAATTCATGTCATTATAACTGACCCCCTATAAATTATTTGTGGCTTCATGAATGTGAACACATGGCAAGCTTCAAGGTTGTTAAATAGGCATGCAAAGTATTTACATAAATGGTCTTTTGATTTGGTTATAAATTACATGAATTACTCAAAGGAAAGGTGCTGTGTAAATGCAAAATAATAATGATGATGGAATATCCATTATTAACCATATAAAAAGAAAATAAAATACTTTGTGTATACTTAGCACATACACAAATTCTTTTAGTAAGAACAATTAAAGAGCAAATAAAACAAGCTTATGTGCTGGAAATGGACAGCTGGATTTATGCCACTCTTGCAATTGCACCATTTCAAGCCATATGGTTTGTGCTCATTAATGTAATTTTTAAAGAAGGTCTCACTTGAGAGTAAGCCTGATAAATAAACAAAAACTTATTATATCACTGCCCCTCCTCCACGTCTTAAGTGACCTTAGTGAATTTACATCAGTAGTGAGTTTATCCCCAGCGAAAGCTCCAAATTCAATTTAACAAATGCTTATGCTTTTTAATTTGGGAGATTTAGAGATTAGGTTTCTCTTTAGAACATTAAGGCTAGCCGTAGCTGATGAAAATAACAGTAGTGCAGCAACAGTAATTTTAGACCTTTCGGGGACTATATTTTAGTTTGAGCATCTATATTGTAGCAGTCCATGCAGTAGTAGTTAGACATAATCCCACTACACAAGAAACCACCTGACTTTAAGGTTTATGGATTTTTATTTTCAGTTCTTGGGCAATGGATTTTAAAAAGAAACTACTCTGTAAGCTTTGTTCAGAAATAAGCACTCTTCTTTAAAAGGGACTTAACCAGAGAAACGTGATCTTAAAGCCATTCAGATTTTGCATGTGAGGAGAGGAATAACTGGGAAAACTGCCTTGCCAAATCCTACAATAGTTAGAACATTTTCTCACTTATTAGAGCTCTATATTTCAAGAAATGTTTATCTTTTCTTCCTAGTCTACTCTTACAAGTGCCTTTTAATAGATAGAAGTTAATATAATGGCAATGATAAAAATAGTAAGGTAAAATACATAAAAGTACATTTCATTATATTGCATTTATTGAATACAGGAGTGACATGTTTATATTTAAGTTTATCCTAAAATCTATGAATTTTAGGGAGGGAATTTCTACTGGTGATAATAATATCAATAGGCCCAGGGATGTAGCTCAGTGGCATAGCACCTTGCTTGACAAGTGCAAGGTCCTGAGTTCCATTCCTGGTACTAAAAAAAGAGTCCATAATAACATCAATAGATCCAACCATACATCTAAATTTTTTTTGTCTTTTTGAGACAGGGTCTTGCTATGCAGTTCAGGTTGACCTTGAGCTCACTTTGTAGCCCAGGCTGACCTTGAACTCGCAAGGATCCTCCTGCCTCAGCCTCTTGGGTGCTGGGATTACAGGCATGTGCCACCATGCCCGGCCAACCGTACATCAATTATGTACCTGGAAGCTTGTTTGAACAAGTTCACCTTTTTATGAATGGCCTTTGAGACTGTAGCAGACTGCAAAGAGACTGAGATGTGGAGGGAGGGGCACAGGTAAAGCGGGGACTGAGTCAGTAGGCAGAGAGGGAGAGAAGAGAACTGTCTATAGGTGACAATCAGACAGGACCTCTCTCCATTCCTTTCCCTTCAGGGTAAATCTCTCATTTGCCTCAGTGCTTTTCCTCCTCTGGCCTTGCAGCTAGCACTTCGCTGGAATCCCTGTGACTGGGCACCTCTCCTTCTTCCCCACTGCAGTCCTTTTCCTTCAGTCCCCTGCCCCAGAGTCACTGTCCATCCGGTCTGCAAGCTTGGCAAAGCCGCAGAGCTCCCTGCTTCACCAGTCCCGGCGGGTGGGGTGGGGTTGTGGAAGGTTGCCTGCGTGGGCAGCGCACACCCCTCGGGTGTGGGGAAAGGACGGGCAAGTAGTCATTCTCGATCTGCGTGGCCTCTTCTTTCCCCGGTCCTGCCGCTTCCAGATGCTGCTTCCTTGCGCAACCCTGAGGATCCACTTTTCTCGGTGCTCAGATTCACTTACTCTTGCTAGCACAGCTGCTAGACCCGGCTCCCACTGCCCCAGGGGCGCGGGCCTCCCAGAGCTCAGATTCTGTCCCTACTTGCACTGGCATGCTTGTTTCCAAGTTCCTGGGGGCTACAAGTGACTTCTCTGACACTGCTGTCCGGCTTTAAGTTTCTCTGAAGCCCTAGTTTGCAAATTTCTCACTCACTGTGTTCCTCTTCCCCGTGGAGAGGTAGACTGCTTGGAAGCCTAGTCCCCCTGCGGCCCACCGCAGAAGTGCCTGTTCCCCTCCTTCAGGGTGCCCAGCCCTCCCCAAGATGCCATGGACACTGTGCTTGGCTGGACCGGAGGGAAGAAGGGATGCTGCCATCCGGAAGTGGTCCTGTTTCCCTCCTACACTCGCGTCATCCTGGCTTTCGGTCCAGGGAATTTCTCAGTCCTTAAACTTTCCCACATCTGGCTATCTTTATCACTCAGAACCAATCTACTTGCCTTTCTCTGCTACAATAATCAGACTGTCTCTCACACCGCTGCCTGCTAGCCAGTCAAGATGCTTCCCTTTTATTCATATTTTAACAGGAAAATGCTATGTGGGCAAAGCAATGTGGTTTAGTTTATTAATTTTTGTTTAAATTTTCTATTCACAGTTTTTATATATGGAATCAGCAAGTTTACATGGATTATACTTGTCTAAGGGCTACGAGCATATGGAATTTTATCTATTTTATATTTGAGAATGTTTAATGTTATGTTAAAACCAAATTAAGACAATGTAAAGAATCTTAGAAGAATTTGTGTGGGGACTTTAAAAGGAATACAAATAATAGATAAGCTTTAAAATGGGGCCATACCAAATAATCAAACCACCCTTTCTGACTGTCAAAATAAATTCAGCACCCAAAGGAGTAAATCAGAGAGAGCCATTAATCTGTGACCTTGCATATTCTGAATTTCAGTTAAGAAAACATTCAGACACCCTGTAAGGATTTCCCACTCTACAATTCCTGCCTGTTTACTTCCATGCTATTAAAATCCATACAACTGAGTCACGCAAAACAATTTCAAGTTCAGTCAACAGATAAGCAACCTGTGAGTTTTGCCTTTTCGGATACTAATCTTAACCACTGAGGCACATATCTCCTTTCTGAGCATTGGAAGTGTGATTTGACTAAACATAGCCTTCGATCTCAAGCACGTACATGGGTGTGTGTGTGTGTGGTTATGCATGTATGGCTGCTACCTATGAAATTAATAGTCAAGTCATATTTTTTTACTACATGTTAAACAGCAGTACTTGCTAGATAAAGTATGTCTTCTAGGACCAATATTTTCCAAAGGGAAAAAAGAAAGCAAAGAGTTCTCTTCATTCATCCTTCTTCAGGCTCCAACTTGGACTTGCAGACAGGCACTTGTGCCTAGTTCTCAGTCAGCGTGATCCAGGTAAACCTCCCTTACACGATGAACAAGGTTTCCATCTAAGGAGTACTACTTGTGTGGGGTTTTGATAATTTATTAAGTTCAGGAGAGATTTGCAGACATCTCAGTTCTCAGTACTCTGAGTTGCAAAAGATCTTAGGATTTACACTCAATTTCTAGCTGGCAAATAAATATGTCATGTAAGAGTTGGCTGGATGACATAAAAAGATATATAGATTCAAGTTATAAAACTGAACATTTTAGTTACTTGACTGTTGAAAGAATGGCAAAAGGAGGGACCCCAGAGCCTACCAGTATATTTAATTTGGCTGAAACAGATTTAACATTTGAGATTTAAAATTGTTTACACAGAGTACTCAAAACTACCCACTTCCTATTTATCTTACCACAGACCAGCTTCACGCATTTATGTTACCTGCCCAATACCTGGAGGCATTTGCTTTGTAATCCCTGGATAGCCTTTAAAATTTTTCTCTGTCACAGTTTATGGGTCTTACCAGTATTTGAAATAGTTTTTATGCCTAACAATCCCCTGTACTATCTCAGATTGGTATAACGTTCAATGTGCGTTAAGTCCTCAGGGGATTTTACAGGAAAGGTCAGCTGTAAGAGCCGATTATTGCTCATTATTATTAAGACTCTTTTGTTCCACACAAGCCCTTCATACAGTTGGGGACACTCCTCGGGGGATGAGTTTATCTCTGTGTACTTTTGCTATAAAAGCGGTATCCATTTGCGGACTTTGCCTTCTTTTAACTCCTCCCCAGTCAAAGAAAACCTCTTTCTGGTGAATGCATTTAAATCATTACTTTAAAATCTAGCCTCTGTGATGTGTGGCAGATTCGCATTTACCTATGACCTCTGAATTTACAGCACTCTCTCCCAAACAGACGCCTCCAGGCTGATAGTTTTCCTAATTTTATTCTCACTACTAGGCACTGATTCTTGATCTAAAAGACGAAATGTTATACAAATGTGTCCTCTTAGTTATATGATGATGTCTATTATTTTTAGTATGTGTTTGTGTACAGGTTTCCATCCCTCGTGCAGAGTTAGTACATGGACACAACATCTTAATTCCTTTTTTTCATCCCCTTCCCTCCCTCACCTCCCCATCCCCCATCTTTTATTCCCTTTTCATTTGAGAATAATCAAGCTTCCTTTTTCTTTTTTTTTTTTTTTTTTTTTTTTTTTTTTTTTGAGACAGGATCTCACTATGCAGTTCAGGGTGATCTTGAACTCACTTTATAGCCCAGGCTGGCCTCGCCCTCACAACAGTCCTCCTGCCTCAGCCTCCCAAGTGCTAGGATTACACGTGTGCACCACCATGTCCAGCTTCCTACTTTCTATTATCTTGCTTTTACTTTGCTCTTTATTTATAATTCGGGGTTGTGCATATAAGAGAAACTGTACCATGCTTAAAAATAGGTTCAAGATGCACCCATTTTCCTACAAAGGTCCCCTTTATCTTTCCCTATGGCAGAGTAATACAATGATGACCATTTTTAAAAATCACCCCAAAATTATTATACTCTAATGAAACACTCCTTTCTCCTTTACTTGAAATCAAATATGATTTCATGTATATTGCATTGTTTTACTTTTAATACAACAGTTTTTGCTATTGACTGTGTAATGATATGATTATAAAAAGCCACCAATTCTGAAATTCTGAAAAAAAAATCAGCAAAAGGGAATCTGAGAAAAGAAAGAAGCACACATTCTAAGCATGAAGTTGTTTTTGACCTCCCAGCATACTCAAGGCATCCTTCACATGGCAAGCTGCAATCCTAAAGGCTAATCCGTGAGGCCGCCATGCCTTAGGAATAGGAATGTTTACAGTGTGAAAGTAACAGACACAGTACAAATGACACTTAGGAAAATGTGGCATCTGTTACATTGCAGATGTTGCGAGGATAGGAAGCCAGAGCCATGAATAAGGAGGGTTGGCTTTTCATGAGGTAGAACCAGCCTTCAAATTGGCTGAGTTTCTCATCTTGGTTACAGTACAGAAGGCTGTGAACACTGGTACATTAACAGGTAAACATAAACACTGAGAAAAGAGTAGAAACTATAAAACCGTATATCTGGTTTGCCAGTCAAAGAGTTGATAAGCCAGGAAGACCATCAGCTGAATACCCAAGCTTTTGCAAAGAGAGACAGGCATGCAGATTGGTTTACTTGCGATAGACGAGGGGAGGAAGGAGTGTTTACCATATAAATAGATTGAAAGAAACCAGACACCATTTTGACAAACTGTTAGATGGCATGGGCTAATGTGTCTGATGGAAAAGCTGAGGGCTGGAGACCTAGCTGACTCCTCATTTTACTCTGTAGCAGTTCCCCTCCTCCTGAGGATGCTCAGGAGAAAGAATGTGGTCGAGCAGGAGCTCCAGGAAAAAACCTTAGAGGAGAACAATCTGCAGGTGATTAGCAGATGCTGTGCAGAGAACATCATGAAACTATGTCTCCACATGGTCCCATTTGAAACAAAGCTTGAAGACACTAAGGAAGGGGTAGAAAACACCTTTATCTTTAAGGACCGGAGAAGACCAATTGCAGCTGAGGTTACTGTATAAAAACAATATGTTTCTATACCCGGAAGACATAGGAAATCCTCATGTCACAGGATCTGTTTCCAGTACCAGGCAGAGGTAGTTTGCTAACAATTAGAAAAGAGGAGGGAAGTGTTGGGCAAGATTAACCACAGAAAAAGAGTTCAATTGCTATAGAAGAGAGAGATGACAATATCAAGAAAGCCCCAACCCAATGCTCAGGGCCAAACTATGAAGCTGGACCACAGCAACAGAAATCCACTGCAGTCCTCATTATGAAGCTGTTACTGAGTGGGAAATAATAGTCATCTACCTAAGTGAGGGGCCACAACACGGAAAGAGAAAAAGTCCACAGAAATGTAGAGGAAAATCAAACCACTGAGAATGGAGGGCAGATGCTCAGAGCATCTGCTGTCACTACAGCCCTCACCATAAGCACAGGAGTGTAGCCCAAAACTAGAGGAATCTAAAGCCTGTCATGCATTGATAAGACCAAACACAAGCACATGCTACTCCTACTTAGATTGACTCAATCACCTGAACAAGTGACCTGAGAGGGAAGAACTGTTTCTGAGTATAAGCAATATTTCTTCAGTTCCATCCATGTTATACTTGAAGCTTTAGAGCCAATTAAAATTTTTAAGAAATGCAAAGGGGGGGAGGTTGTAGTTAAGAGATAATGAAATACATAAATAGTATGAGGGTCAGAAGTGACCCAGATGTTAAAATTTTCACATTGGGTCTGTAAAATAACTGATGAATGTGTTTAAAGGTAAAGTAGGAAAGGTGGATAGTTCGTATGAAGAATTTCAATGGTGATATGAGTACTACTGCTAGGAAGAATCAAATGGAAATGCTCACCACAGAATGTGGAGTAACAGAGCAGTATTTTAGCAGGCTCATCAGAGCTTAACAAAAAGTCATTGAACCTAAAGATAGATGGATTTAAACTATCCTCCTTGAAACAAGAGGGGTGGTAGTGAAAAAGTACAGAAGGAGCATCACATTGTTGGATAATGTCAAATTTTGTAACATTTATGTCACTGGAGTAGCAAAAGAAATTGAGAAAGAGGATAAATATATGAAATGCCAAAGGCAAAAATTATTCCAAAAAATTATTAAATGCTATACTCAACCAAATAACCAAAGAACTTAAAGAATTTCAAGGATAAATAACTAATTAAAAATAAAGTAACAATACAACAAAAGACAAAGACCTATCATATGTGACACTCAAATTATAGTGAATCAGTGGTAGAAAATCCTGAAGGCAGCCAAGGAAAAAGGCATAGTACAAATAAAAGAATAAAGATAATAACTTGAACAGGTTACTTGTCAGAAACTAAGTAAAGAAAAATATAATGAAGTGATATTTTTAAACTGCTGAAAAAAAAAATATCAACCCAGAAAATATCCCCCCAAAAAAGTATCTTTCAAGACATTGAAGTAAAGTTGAGAAGGCTTCTCTGAAGAGGCAATGCTTGAATAATAAGGAATCAGTCCTGGACCATGAGAGATAAAAACAGTGAGAATCCCTGATGTAAGGATCTGCAGCATGTTTGGTGCACAAAGGGTGATCTGTCACTGCAGCAGAGGCAGATTCCGGAGGCTTTGGGAACCATGTTACATGTTCAGATATTATTTTCATTGAAATGGAGGCCTATTAGTGTTTTAATCAGACACAACATACAATTCATATTTCTTAAAGATTAAATCCAGAAACCAGAATAATTCTCGAACCAGGCACAGTAGTAGTCTCAAATAGTGCATGATTCAGAATTTATCTATGGAGTGTACTTAATAGTGAAACTGATTTCAGTCCAACAGTTGCACTATTCCCTCTACTACTGGTATTATCATTTAAATGTTTATTGTGTTCTAGGAATTTGTAAAAGATTTCTCCATGTCTTGCATCGAAACTTCAGAGCTGATAAGGTTCTGAGCCTTTAAAAACTTGTAGTAAGTACCATATGGCCATACTTTGAAGTAGTTTGTTACTGCTGCTATAAAATAAGTTACTGCACATTCAGTGGATTAGAACAATGCATTTCATTATCTTACAGCTCCGAAGATCAGAAGTTTAGAGTGTGAACAAAGACTGAACTCCTTTTGGAAGCTGTGTGGCAGAATTTGTCTTCTTGCCTTTTCTTGCTTCTGGAGGCTGCCTGCATTCACTGGTTTGTGGCTTCAGTGTACATCACTGTAATATTTTGACCTCTGCTTCCACGCTTACATTTCTCTTAGACCCTACCTTCACTGCCTTCTCCTTCTAAGGATGCTTGCGATTGCATCAGGCCCACCTAGATAATTTAAGATCATCTATCCAGCTCAAAACGCTAAATTTAACCACATGCAAAATGCCTATAATATAAGGTAACATACTTACAGGTTCTAAGCTTTACAATGCAGATATCATGGTTTGGATGGGGTTTGTATCTCAGGGCTTCATGTGGTGAAATTTAGGTCCCCAGCATGGCAACATTAAGAGATGATGGAACCCTGAAGAGATGGAGCTGAGTAGGAAGTGATTAGGTAAGTGGGGATAACATACTTGAACTGATTAAGTAGCTCTCATGGGACACCAGTTACTTCTTATGAGAAGGCAGCTATAATAGAACAGAGTTGGCTCCTTCCCATTGTCTGGCTTTATGTCCCATCATGTAATCTGTCCTTCTCACAGTGCCTCTGCCATGAGTGCATCTCCCATGATCAGTCACTACCAAGGTCCTTCCCCAGAGCCAGTGCGGGCTGTTTGGAATTTTAGCTTTTAAAACTGTGAGCTAAATAAACCTATTTTCTTTATAAGTTATCCAGCCTTCAATATTTCATTACAGTAACAGAAAACAGATCAGTACATCTTTAAGGGTGGCTATTATTCAACCTACACAAAGTCAAGACTTGGGTCTTTCATCTTTAAGGGACAAGATGAAAGAAAATTCATTAGAAAGTGAGGGAATCTCTGGGAATAAATATTCCCAGAGGAAATGTATCTTCCAGGGAAGATATTGAGCTGGAAGGAATGATAGGCAAATGGTGAAAAGTCTAGCAGGGCCAGGAACACATGTATATAGATCAGATCAGCATTGAGGAAAAGGAAAAAGAATCAACACTGACCATGTTCCTACCCAATGTCAGACCCAATAAATATGGCCTAGCTATGCATCATCTGATTTAATGCTCAAGGCCAACGTTAAAAAGATAGCGTTACCTCAGCTCATGAACTTAATTCTTCCCACAATTCTGATTGCAAACTGAACTGGACAAAAACTGAATCAAATTCAATAGTTAGGTTCAATGTTGACCTTATGAGGAAATTTGATTCTGGTTTTCACAAGAGACCTGAGTTCTGTCAATACAAGTTAATGAAGTGAGTAGTATCTATATCTAGCTCAGATTCCAAAGCTTATATTATTTTTCAATTCAAAATATCAGAGAGACTTTTAAGAAAATATTCATCAAACCAGAATACTAAATAAAAGGACACAGTGGATAAATACAGTGAAGGCTATAATGAAGAATTTGGGATGATTAATGTAAAAAGTCTTACAGAAGATCTGACAATGCTGTCACATGACAGAGTGATGCATTGATATTAAAACTATAAAGCAACAGTTATACAAAAATAAGGATTTGAGATGTTTCTTATTGTTTAAAGAGAAAGTAAAGAAGGTTCTAAGAGAGATTATTTCCTGATATAAGGATGGGACCTTAGACCCAAGAGACCAAGTACCACTGTTTTAGCCCTAACCGCATCATTGCCTGCTCTATGTCTGTGGCCAAGATATTTGACTTCCTTGTGTTCAGTTCCTTGTAATTGAGAACAAAATAGCACCATACCTCATACATTTGTTGTATACATTCAGCAAACTAATAAAGTATTCAAAAATAATTTCTGTCAATACTAAGTACTGCATAAGTGTTAGTTCTATCTTTGTACTTAGGTTGAATTAAAGTGACAGGAAAAATATGGACAGGTGTGTTGGAAAAAGTCCATTACTAGAATGATTCAAGCCAAAGTTAAATAGTTATATGTAAAGAATGCTTAAAACAGAAGATTTAGGTTTGGGGAAGAAAGCTGAGTCAGGCCACTGCTAGGGTTTACATGTGGTCTCAGACTTTCCCCAGGAGTTCATATATGAGAAACTTGGTTCCCAGTATAGTGGCGGAGGGGAAACCTTTAAGAGGTAGGGTCTACTGTAAGGTAACTAGGATAGTGGGGTGCTACCCTTGGAAGGGATTAATATAATTTTCATTGGGGCTCAAGTCCCAAGAGTGAGTTTTGATAAAAGTCCAAGTCTACTCCCAAACTATCGCTTGCTATCTGACTTTGTGACCTGGTTAGTCCATGCTTCTGCCATTGTGACACCATCTGGCATGAGACAGAATGTATGGGGCTAGCCCAACTTGGAGTTTCAGCCTCCAAAATTGTGAGCTAAATAAACTTTTCTCTTTATATGCCACCCATCCTCTGACATCCTGTTATAACAACAGAAAACCTATTAAGACAGCCACTTTTTCCCAACATTTTCCACAGAACACTAGTAATATGAGATACTGAAAACTGTTCATGAGTGGAAGTGGGAAAGAAGGAATTTGTTAAGTGTGATAAATACTAAAAATTATACCCTTAACCTAGGAATTCAGGATATGTAGATTATCATATTAACAAAAAAGTTGTGAGAAATCTTGAAGAAACAGAAGGTCACAAAATTTGTTTTAAAATCCTGTTGTTCAACTGAGAGAGGTAAGAGAGACAGACAGACACAGAGACAGAGACAGAGAGACAGAGAGATATAGACAGAAAAAGACAGAAAGACAGAGGAGAGAGAGAGAGAGGGATGCTTGGAAGTATCTAGCAAAATCTTTGGCATACAGCTGGTGAAATGTGAAATTAATAGACTAGATAATCTCTAAAGTACCTCCTGCCTCTAAGCTATTATTATATAATGTGACTTCAAATATGTTAAAATAACATGTGCTACAATGAAGTGAACTCTCAGGGTGTAATTTCATTTCACTATAGATTTAGAAAACATTGCAATTCTTCAAGTGCTTATGTTTGTTTGTTTTTAGTTTCCAGGAAGAATATTCCTAAATAGCAAATTTCTTTAACAAGAGTCCTTTCTGAATCTGTGCATACTATTTTGGCTTTTACAACCAGTGTTGACAATAACTACTTTTTAAGTCAAGATAAGCTATAAAGTGATAATGGCACACATACATGGTAAATGAGCCTGTACATAAAATTCTGCCCAGGTAATTCTGTATACTACTCAGTAATCGAATGGGTAAGATGCATAAAATGATCTATAATTGGTAACTATTCACTCTGCAAAAGTAAAATACCACAACTGTAAAAAATAATATCTTGTTCATGCCAGTCTTGCTGACACATAGCCCATATTTTAATCTATAGTGTAAATGTTGGTCCACAGTAGGCACGCTCTAGTTCTCTTATGTCTGCAAGGAATGTTATAATCTCTCTTTTATAGTTCAGCAAACTCAGTCTCAGAGAGCTCTTTTCCTCATTCTCCCACTAGAGTCTAGCCATTTGATCTTTTGCCCCACTCTAACCATATCAAGTTGATACCTTTGCTTGCTGTATCCTGTTTGGAAGTCTTTGCCTTGAATTTTTCCTTTAATTCCTATCTTCTTTTCACTCAGTCTTAGTTTACAGTAGCACCCTCAGAGAACCTTTCTCTTATTGCTCTCACCTCAAGTTCTAACACTTTTGCTTAGCAACTAGCTCTAGTTTGTACTTAACACTACTTCCGATTACTTATTAATATTTTTTAGTTTTACAAATTATATGGACCCTAGTATCCTAATGTCATGTTTCATTTACTAAGCTAAATCCTGCTCTGAAATAGTTCATTCTCTGTTCTAGGAACAATGCTTGGTCCATTGATTCTCAATAACTATTATAGTCTTTTAATCAATAAACAAATTGAAACCACCATTTAGATTAAAGTAAGCAAAAAAAAAGGAATTCTTTTCATTGAACACATTTTCATTTCAGAATGCTTCAGATTCACTACTACAAGGAAACTATTCTTTTTTCCACATGCTGCATATATTTAATTAAATATGGGCTTCTTACCTAATGATTAGGAACACCTTACTCGGAAACTATTAGAGATACTGGCTGAGTCCACAAAATCAAAAATGGCAAAAATGTCTGCAAGAAATTTTGCAAATGAAATCAACAAGCATGAGAATTTAATAGCCAGTTTCCACCATGCAATTGAAACAAAAAGCTGAACAATTTAACTCAAAATTATGACTGAAATGATTCTCCTATCTTTTCTAGCCCTATATGTAAAATAAGCCTAAAGGGGCTGGGGATTTAGCTCAGCGGCAAAGCGCCTGCCTGGCAAGCGCAAGGTCATGAGTTCGGTTCCCGGTACCGGAGAAAAACCAAAAGAAATAAAATAAAATAAAATAAAATAAGCCTAAAGTTCTTTTTCACAGATCGGGGGCTTGTACATCACCTTCAACGATAATAGTTTTGAACTGTGTTCTCAATAAAGAAGAAAGCAGACACAGGGTCAGAACAAATGGGCTTCTCACTTTGATTTATGGCTGTAGAAACAGAATGTTGCGAGGGTTGTGCACCGTGCTGAGGGCCACATACAATGCGAATACTCAAATCCAGCTTCCTTCAGCCTTCCTTCAAATCCCTCCCTTATTACACTCCCTCTCCCTGTATGTCTAGGATTCTTCATGTCATGTCCAAATTCTTCATATTCTCTCCTCATCCTTGCTTCATTGTTTGGAAGAAAATGCCTTTATGACCACTTGAAAAATAGCTACTTTATTGTACATTTACATTCACTTATTAAATTCACATTATAATCTATATTCAACAGTGCAGAGTTCTAGTCCTTGATCTCTGAATCACTGATACTATTAAGTTATACCCTGACCAATCTACAGAACTATTAATAATATTTTTGGCTTAAAATGCAACTAACTTGAATTGCATTTATTTCTGAGTCTATTATTCAAAGACAGTGTAGGTCCTTGTAATTTAAGCCCTCCCCTAGAAAGCATTTAAATGACCCAGGCACCATCTTGGAAAACATAGACTTTAGTGCTGACAGAAGGTTTTGACTAACAGGTTCTCTTAAAATAAATACCTTTGCTAACTACATCCTACTACACTCTTGCAATGGACTTCCTGAATCACAAGAGCATCATTGTACAGTGCCATTATGTTGCTAGTGTCACAGGAGATCAGTGTGTGCTCATCTTGCTACTTGTACTCCATGATTATTTCATTATTGTTGTTAATAAATCAATATTTGAATGGATGGAATAAGACCATCACTAAATAGTTTTCTTAAAGAAACTTTTAATAATTTTGCAAACTAGAATTAGTCATTTTTATAAAACCGAAGAGACTTTAAGGAATGAAATTGGTTTATTGCTTTTTGCTCATAGAACACCATTTGGTTAAGAGAAGATTTATTGTGGGTGTGATGATGCCTGAAGATGTCATAATCAAGATTGATTTAGACTGCCATAGCCAGATTGAAGATGTATAAAAGCTATCATCACATTGACATCAATATATCACAATCCCCGAAGCACTAAAAATAACTGCTATGTGAACAAGTGTGTAACTGTTTTATTGACATTGGCCTATTACTGAAACATGAATTTAGAATTACAATGTGTTGTGTACTTGAAAAACGCAACTTGGTAATCAAAAACCATAGTACTATGATCAGCTAGTAATCAGGAATGTTCAACTGACATATAAATTAACCGTTTATTTTTTTACCATAAGCATCTATCAATCTGTTGGGTAAAGAAATCTCAGGTCCTGGGACCAGATCAATTTAGATTCAACTTCCACCTTCATTATATATATACATTATATATATTTATACATTATATATATGTTATATATATATATACTTTATATATATATATATGACCTAGGACAACTCAGGATATTTCAGCCTCAGTTAGCTCACAAATGGTACATGAAAAACAATTCCTACTTTTTAAGATTATTGTGATGATCAATCTTGCATACCTACTATCTGGTAATCTACAAAACTATTTTGAAGATAACCATAAGTAATACAACAACCATTGCTGATTTCCCATCATCTTGTTTTGAAATTTTGTATCACTTTTATAGTTTTTTGTGGTTTTTTTTGTCATTGTTCTTGTTCTTTTCTCTTCAAAATAAAAAATAAAATTATAAAAAAAATCATTGTAATGGTAAAATATTTTTAATATTGACAGTATCTAATAAGTTATTAGCATCAGCTAGTTCATAGTATTAATAAATAAAATTATATAAATTAATTAACTCATTATATTGCATTTAGCATGATGAATGGACAAATTATTTAAAAATCTTTCTTTAAAGATTACGCATTTCAAAATATGTAGTAATTTTGTGTCACTTTTGGGTACAATTTAAATAGTGATTGGAGTGTAGATGCACAGATGTGTCTGACAGATAGATATTTAAGATTAAATAATTGTCATTGACATGACTTACTATCAGCTACTTATTTCTGTAAAAGTTTTTCTTTTTCTCACAGAAAAACATTATAATAATACAGAACTATAAGAATATTCATAGTAAATTTATTCACAGCATCCCAAATTAGTAGCAAGCTAAATAACTACCCACAGCGGGCTGGATTAATAAACTATAATATACTCATACAATGGAATTGTTCACTGTACAAAATTAAATTTCTGATACACACAGCAGCATAGCTAAATCTCAAAAATTATGACTAAAAGAAGCCATTTACAAAAGAATGTATACAATTTGTCTCATGAAATTTATAAACAATGAAATTAGTCTATGATGATAGAAGTCACAAGAATTTTACCTTTTCAGAGCAGGGATGGTGGAGGTTAAAGAGAAACATAAAAGAGCATTCTGACATAACAGAAATGGCCTATATTTCTATAAAAATAGAACACTTTCATATACATATGCATATGTAAAATTCATCTAAGTGTGCTTTTAAGATTCGTGCACTTCAAAATATATATAATACACTTCGTATTAAGTATATATAAAGGTTTAATGGCTAGATTACCCATGCAAAGTATTTGTATTTCTTAAAATTACAGATTAAGTCATTCACTTCTGATTAAGACAGAGTATCAAAGGCTGGATTTACCTTCCCAGCTGAGATATCTAAAAATCCAAACAAAATATGGACATTATTACATACAGAAAATTCCAAAAGATTGTGTGCAAAAATACTAGCCCAATTGCAATTCTCCAAATTAATGTCTGGAGTGAGATTTTACAGCACAAGAAAGGATACCCCAGGCAGAGTCTGGTGAACTTCCTGAGTTGAGAAGATGGAGGTGAAAGTCTGGGAAAACCAAGACAGGCAGAATTTGTAGAATCTAGTATCTAAGAAAAGAGCAATCCACAGAATAGGAATTCCACAGATCTGGAGTTCTTCTTCATGTTTTCAGCTGAATAGCAATCAGTGCCTGTGTATTTAAAAAAAAAAGGAGCTCAGGCCCTAAAAGTATTCAAAGGGACAATATTTAGAGTAAATGTACGCAGCTTGAAAACACCAATTAAAAATCAGAAATTCTCAGGATGGTTTAAAAACAAAGAAAAACCCAGCTGTATGCTTCTCACTAGAAAACCACATTGAAGAGAAAATACAACTAGGTTAAAAGTAAAAGGATGGGGAAAAAAAGATACACCCTGCTCACAAAATTAAAATCAAGATGGAATGAGCATATGAATTTAAATCAAAGTAGATATGGGAGCCAACGATAACACGAAGGACAAAGATGTTCACATGATGTTAAAAGTTTTGTAACATTAACAAACACAAAAACAGAAACAAAAACAAGAGATTTGCTGGCAGCAGCCATGGACCATAAGAATTGTCACAGTTTTTTAATCTGATGAAGAAAAGAGGCTAGAGATCAAGTGAAGATGGTCAGAAATGGTAAATATGTGATTAAAATTAAGGTAGTATATATTTTCCTTTATTAACTGTTTAAAGAGCTATGATAAATACAAACACTGTCTCACTGAAAGTATAATGTGTGTACATGAACACAAAACCATTGAAGAAGAAACAGTAATTGAAATCTATTGTGTCCAAGTTCCTGTGATTTACCCGAAGTAATTATTGTGGATTCATGGTCCCTCTGAATTCATATGCTGAAAACAGAACTCCCACAGTGATGCTACTTGGAAGTGGAGTCTTTATGATGAGCTCTCATAAATGGAATTAGCAAATCAGTTTTGGCGATTGATAAAACAAGAAAAATGAACATAGTCTAGGTAGAGAATATCCAAATAACACCATCAACCACTTTAATCTAATTGACTTTTATAGAACTCTATAGTTAATGGTTATAGAATGCACATCCTTTTCAAATGCACCTGGAAAAAGTACCAAAAGAAAATATAGCAGGCCTATAAAACAAGTCTCAATAAATTCCAAAAGATGAAACCTTTAGAGACTATGTTCTCTGACCACCACAAATCAACCAAAATATAAGCACTAAATATAGAGATGTTAAATAAACCATCTCTTTGAATCTATTAAGAAAGCAGCATAAAATTTAAAAAATATTTGTAAATGATGTGAAATAATCATCTTTATAGTAAATCATGAAGAAGATACAAAAAAGTAAAGTCACTACACAACATCAGTATCATGAAATTAAGTTGTATTTATAACAAAATAACTTGAAATAAAAATATCAAAATATAAATTTATTGTGGATAAATTTAAGAAAATATATGTAATGCTTGTATAATAAAAATATAGGTGACTGCTAAGAAAATTAACACATCCTAAAAGATGAAAAGACAGATCATAGGGGCTGGAGATTTAGCTCAGTGGCACAGCACCTACCTGGCAAGCGCAAGGTTGTGAGTTTGATTCCCGGTACTGGAAAAAAACAAACAAACAAACAAAAAAATGAAAAGACAGATCATAATCATAAAATGTAAATTGATCTATAGAATTAATTTAATTACAAACCAAATCCCAGAAAAGCTTTTTTATATAAAAAGTCAAGTATATATATATACACACACACACACACACACACACACACATACACACACACACATATATATCTCCTGAAAGTGCCAAAAACAAGTTTCAAAACTTGGAGGACTCATGCTATCAGATTTTATAGTTTGCTGTGAAGGTACAGTGACCTTCACTGTGGTACAATATTGTATTTTGATGTAAGGATAACTATATTGATGCACAGAATGAACAGCTAGTACAAAAGTAAATAGATACACACACATACATAGCTTATTGATTTTTTTGCAGAAGTGCCAATCTAACGTAAAGAAGAAGGGATAGTGTTCCAAGTGATGGTGCTGAAATAACTTTAAATATTCAATTAAGAAACAATACCTACCCTTTACCTCACATCGCTATAAAAATTAACCCCAAATGGATGGATCGTGATCTAAGTGTAAGGATTAAAACTAAAATTTCTAGAAGAAGTAATTCAAAACTATCTGAGATCTGGGTTCTTTTTGTCTCTCTCCCCCAACATTCTCTGTACCTTCGCTGATCTCAGGTTGTCTTGCAGTAGATCTGACTATCACAGGGACAATTCCCAAGGTCAAGAAAAAATAAGATGGTCCTCCTTACATGTTTCTTTCTGTGAGGAAACTCTTCAGCCAACTTTTTTCTAGCATCCTTTTGGCTAGACCTGGGTTACATGACCATATCTACTTATAGAGGACTTGGGAAAGTACCTGTTTGGTTTTTTTTTTTTTTTTTTTTTTTTTTTTGACCTTTCTTATGAGATGCAGACACTTGTAGCAAAAATAAGTAACAGAAGATGTCTGCTCATACAGTGTGTGCCATATCTCCCCCTCTATACAGTCAAAACCAAATATCCCTGGATCTTTCCTTCACCTCTCCAAGGCCTCACTTGCCTGTGTTCTGATGCACACATTTAGAAAAACTGGAGAGCAGGGAAAGAGGAAAATGACTTCTCTCTTCTTAAACCCCAAATGGAATATTAATCAACCCTTGCCCAAAAGCTTCCTATTTATATTAGGCTCCTCTCTTTCACCTCTGCTCAGTTTGTTTGATATATTTGGTAAGGTTGGCTTGTCTTTTTGACTACAGCTTCTTACACTCTTATCCTTAATGCTTTTCCAGGTTAAGACCATGATTACTGAAGGTGGTTGACAGGTTCACATCATGCCCTTGCCACTGAAAAGCTGCATGATTCTGCACAAGTTACTTACACTCTGTTCTAGTCTTCTCTTGTAGAAAACAATGATACTATATCTATGTCACAGAGGTGTGAAGATTAAATTTTATATAAAGACTTGAATAGTAAGTACTGAATAGACATTAGCTATTATTATTATTATTATTAACTATTATTATTCAAGATTGATGAACAAGATTATTTTAGGAGTTTTTGTGAGGCCAAAGGAAAAACTATGTGCAATTCAATGTTACAACTTAGGACAATTCAATATCTGGAGTCAGGCAGTTGGCTAGCTTACTAACAAACAGCTTTGTTATTATGGTTCTTTTTAATCTTTAATGACATTTTGCATACATCTTGTATTAAGTATCACTTCAAAAATACTAGACTTTTTTCAGCTGTTGGTAAAGAGTTTCTAAGATACCAGAGAGTCATGTCCTAACCAGCAGCAGACAA